AATTCACTTGAGGAGATCAACGGAAGACTTAAGTAGGTAGAAGAAAATCAGTAACCATGAAAATAGGTCAATTGAGATATGAAGTCCAAAGATAGAAAGAACAAATTGGAGCTAGGCAATCATGCTCATTGTTGCCACTTGAGTGACAGCCATTCTTAATTTGAAATCACATTACAAACACTGTAAGATTGGTAAAAGTTATTAATTTGCCCTTCTTTCAATTCTTGAGACATGCTCAGTTAGCTTTTTTGTTCTTAGGGCTTACACATAATGTTTCCACCACTGGTAAGGCCCTTCCCCTGCTTTTAACAGGGCTGGTTTCTTTTCATCTTTCAGGTCTCAGCTTAAATATCACCACCCAGAGTGGGCTTTCCTGACCACTATGCCCTTACCCCGATACGGCTATCATTTATCATGGTACCCTGCTTTTTCCTTTTGTGCCATGTATTACAATTTTTCACTATATATTTGTCTGTTTACTAGAATATTGTCTATGTCTTCTATCAGACCATAAGTCCTGCAGAAGGGCATGAACCATGTTTGTTTTTCTCACCACTGAATACCCAGCAGATAGCACACTGTCTTATAAACTGTAACAATTATTAAAATTTATGGAATAATTAAGTGAAATTGTTTGGAGTCTTGTCTTCTCAGGGATAGTATTTAGCCTTCTCCTCTTACAAACCCAACACATCATCTTTTGTACTGTCCTTTTTGCACACTGATGATTTAGGGGACTTAGCATAGAAATTAAAGTGCCTAAAATCAGAAGGCATCACATGGGGAGTTATTCTTTGACATTCCTTCCTAAAACTCAGACTATCAGTCCCTATAAATATTACACTGCAAGTTAAGAGAATAATTCAACTAGTAATGATACTTTCTTTACTCGTAGAAATCATTTGTATAGTGCTTCACAGTTTAAAGATGCTATTGCATATATTTTCTCATTTTATCTCAACAATTGGAATAATGCAGTAATAGAGATGTTAACTAAATATAATAACAGATAACATTAGCATTCATGGGTGTTTTTGTGATATTTTTAAATAGTTCTTGAATATATAGTAAGTCTTATATTTGGGAAAATAAACTAACACATAAAGGCAAAACATGTACCAAATGTCCCTAGGTTTAATGTACACGTCTTTTAAAGTAAATTTATTAATTTCCATTCCTTTTCTTGAAATAGTCTTTAATAAAAACTTTAAAGATGGACACTATACCCATTGACTTTTCTTAAGAATTCATAAAAAGACATCGAAATTGTGGCTTCTTAGCTAATATTATGTTATACTTCTCCTATTTCTTTGCTAGTAAGTTCTTAGATTTTAAATTTTAGGATAATGGACAGGGATGACGTCTGGCATATTATAAGATATCACAATGGCAATATTACAATAAAGCATTTAAAATTGGACATTTAATTTTTTTAATGGAGGAAATAAACTTGCTTTTGTAGTAACTACTACCATGGTAAGAACACAGTGCTACTTGAATTCTGTCTTGCATAATGTCATCAGAAAACGGACTTCAAATAAAAATAAATGGAGTATATAAACAACATGTCATAGTAATGTAAGTAGAATAATACAGAGCAAAGCTGGAAACAGATTACAAGGTCATCTCCATTTCTTCACAAAAGTCATTAAAACCACCTTGGTGTCCCCCTTCCTTCCAGGGCCCTCCATATATACATTAGGTTTTTCATTGCAGAAAGTTTGGAACAGCCAGGAAAGTATAATGAACATATATTTACATGTCTTAATTATCTCCAGTAATTCTATCATACAGAGATAACCACTGCCAACATTTTAGTTTATATCCTCCCAGTCTATTTTACATATATGTGCTATTTAGGTATAATTCACATTATATATATGAAATTAGGATTGTATTGTACACATTTTGGTACCTGTTTTTGTCATTACACATCTACATTTTTCCCTATCATCAATTAGTATTCTGAAATATGAAATGTGTAATTTGGGGGGTGAGGAGGAGGATTGTCAAAATATATTCACAACCATGTAAATGATGATAGATAGGCATGGTCATTTAAAAAATCAATACATCTCAGCCAGGTGCCCGTACTTTGGGAGGCTGAGGCGGGAAGATCACTTGAGGCCAGGAGATTGAGACCAGCCTGACCAAATACCAAGATCCTGCCTCCACAAAAAATAGAAAAATTAGTCAGGTGTGGTGGTACACATCTGTAGTCCCAGCTACTTGGGAGGCCGAGGCAGAGGGATCACTTGAGCCCAGGAGTTGAGGTTGCAGTGAGCTATGATGATGCCACTATACTCTAGCTCCTGGTGACAGAGTGAGACCCTGTCTCAAAAAAAAAAATAAAAAAAAAAATGAATACATCTCTAAGAAAACTAATATACATAAGAAATAGTTGGCTAATTAGCGAATACATCATCTCTTTATTAATATATACTTTAAAAAACTTTTCTTAAATTTCAAAAATTATATTTTGCTCTTTGCATTACTTAGAAAGTAAAATTCTCCTGTGAATATATCTCCCCCTAACACTTTGGTATATATTCTTCTTGTTATAATGAGATTTTTAAATGGCTAAATAGTATTTTCTCATATAAATTTATCATAATTTAATCAATCCCCTATCACTGGGCATTTAAGCTATCTACTGTATTTTGTCATTATCAATAAGTGGGTTTTGCAGATCCCTGAACATAATCTTTTAGTCCTTCAAAAAATCATGCTAAATTTATCATACCCTGTTCTTGTATATGTATCATTATTAAGGACTCATGAATTTCAAATCTTAACCTCTTTGAACCTCAGTTTCTGTATCTGTAAAATTACGGGGTTTTCTAAAAAAAAAATTCAAGTTTTAAATATAATAGAACCTTAATAATCAGGTGAAACAATTTGTCAATTCTTAGAAAAAACATGAGATATATTGCCCGCCTTTTAAATGAGTATAAAGTGTGTGTGTGTATGTGGAGAGGGCATACAAAGAGTCATACAGAGGAATTATCTTTCTGGAATACCAATTTTACATCAAGAATTGGGGACAAAGTTTACATTTTTTCCTGTTAAACATAAATATACTAGAGCGAAATACAAAAAAAAGAAAATCACACTAATTTTTAAAAATACCGTCTTTGAAAAAAAATTCTTATTTCTGAGTGTGCTGCTTTGATTTCTGCCCCCAGAAGTCGAGATTGAGATTTATTTCCCACTGTCATTAGGTTGCTAAGGTCCTGATTAAGAGGAAGAAGACTTGTCACTTAACTCAAACCATTTGAGAACTGATTATCAAATTCTTAGGGTAACCAGGATATTTAAAGTTGTCCTTGGCTTTTGAATCTAAAGACACATTCCACTCATTTCACTGCTTCATTCCAGAACTTGTCAGAGTGTAAGGTTTCATTTTACTAATTCTTCTTAAACCTGTCCCATCTTGCTTTCTACAATTTTGTGAAATTTCTTTCTCACTTCTTTTAAAATCAGGCCAATGTCCAGCCTTTATAAGTAAATCCATAGGTAATATTAACCACTGGTATAGTTAATTTATATTTTTCATTTATATTTCTCATTTAATTCTTTCTACATCCCCAATGGATGGTTTTTACTTTCACAATCAGAATCCCTACTTTAAATCTTCCACATATGTTCACATTAAACGCAATATAAACTAGTTTTTAAAAAAATAGTTCTTGGCCGGGCATGGTGGCTCACGCCTGTAATCCTAGCACTCTAGGAGGGCGAGGTGGGAGGATTGCTTGAGCTCAGGAGTTGGAGACCAGCCTGAGCAAGAGCGGGAACCCGTCTCTACTATAAATAGAAAGAAATTAGCCAAATTACTAAAACAGAAAAAATTAGCAGGGCAAGATTGTCTGTGCCTGTAGTCCCAACTACCTGGAAGGCTGAGGCAGGAGGATCACTTGACCCCAGGAGTTTGAGGTTGCTGTGAGCTAGGCTGACGCCACGGCATTCTAGCCCAGGCAACAGAGTTGAGATTCTGTCTCAAAAATAAACAAAAAAAACAAAAATAACTAAAATAAACCAGTTCTTAAAAGATATAGATGATTTCGAGGGTGAAAGAAAAAACAACTTAAAACAAGACTTTTCTATCAGAGGGGCAAAAGAAAACCTGATATATGAAAATCTGAATTATGACATTTCAAAATCCAAATGGACTAGAAACCTGGGTTTTCCTACAAAAATTACTTGTAGCAGGATAAATAGCGATTGTGAGTAAATTCTGTCAAGGCCTTGATATTTTTTACTCCAAAACTGAAGCAATGTTCAAAAATGAAATAGAAAATCTGTTTAACTTCTACTTCCTCCAGCCAGACAGCAAATAACTTTTCCTTCACATTCATTTGCCTTCCTTTAATGAATTCATTTAAAAATTTTAATTAACTTTTTTTTTAAAAAAAGGGCTGCTTTTAATTTCAGAGGCCAAAATTGGCACGCAGGTACAAAAGGAGGTCACCAACACGGTCAAATAGGGACTCACTCCGCTGCGAAGTCCCTGGACCTCCTTATCCCTCTGGCCGGGAAAATACATCGAACAAGCTCTCAAAACGCTCGGGGGCTAACTGTTCAAGAGGCCTGCACTACCAGTTCAACTTTCCTCCTGGAACTCCCGGGGACCTGCCTGGGGGTTCAGGCAGGTCTCTGGCTCTCGGGGAGTGTCTTGAGGACCTCTTCCTCTTCGGTTCCGAGTAGACTAAAAATTAAAATAAAATAATAAAATCAGCGGCCTCGGGTAACATTGCAAATGAATCTATAGCATCCTCTCCGACGCTGAGAAACTCCGTTACCGGCGCCAAGGCAAAATCAGGGACGCGCCAGGCAGCTAGCTAGCTGCCAACTCCAGCAGGAAGGCGCCACATCCCGGCCGGTGGAAGGCTGACCCGGAAGTGCTCGGCGGCGGCTACGGCGGCGGAGGCGCGGCCAAACCAGTGCACACGCGCGCGCTTCCCGCGGAACTCCCGCCGGCTCCCGGCGCTCCCGGCGGCGCGCCCGAGCCGCCGCGGCCGCCGCCAACATGGCCGAGACAAGCGAGGAGGTGGCGGTGTTGGTGCAGCGGGTGGTGAAGGACATCACCAACGCCTTCAGGAGGAACCCGCACATGTAAGTCGCGCGCCTCCGCCGCCTCCGGGGGTCGTCGGGGGTGGGCGAGGGCGGGGCCACGCCTCGAGCCGACCTCGGGCGGCGGGCTGACCGCAGGTCTGGCCCACGCGCCCTTCTTGGGCGGAGGCAGCGTGAGGTCCCGGCGGACCGTTGTCGGCAGCCGCGGGGCCAGCTTTCCTCTACCCGGACTCGCTCGTGGGCGAGTCCCTAGAAGTGACCTCGGAAATTCAAATTGGAACGACTTTGTTTCGCTCTCCCTCCCTCGCCCCCCTTTCCCAGGAGTTCAGGAAACTCCAAAGACTTACCCCGTAGGTCCATGTCCGACATCTCTTTAAGGTACAGGGGCACACACAACACTATGGGTCTATGTATGCTTTGTAGACACAACTCTTTTGAGGTTCATCCCGGACGTTGGCAAGAACGGATTACTGATCCTCTTATTCTTAATGGGCCAAAAATCCCTCCGTTTACTAACTAAAGGTAGTTTGAGGCTGCTTTTGACTTTCTCCTTACTTGTCACACGATTGTAAAGTGACTCTGATAAAACATTGTGTTTTGAAGGTGAACAGCGTTCTCAAGAGAAGCTTCTGTGGGCATAGTGTGGGTTCTGAGATAAAGCAGAGGAAGCGTCGGCACTTAATTAGCATAAGCTGATTCATAGTTACAGGGAACATATAAACTCATTTTTATCCCAACACTGCTGCCCTCTCCAGCAGGACACTACAGGACTGGCACATATAATATCTTTCTTTCCTTTCCTTTTTCTTTGAGTACTCTGGGAAGATTCCACAAGAGTCTTTACTCTTCCTTGACACTTCTGCTTTTAATGTAACCAGTGAAAAGGATGTTGTTAAGAGAGAGAGAGATCTACAACATTATAGAAAGAAGTAAGAAGCAAGAGTGTAACTCCTGTCCCATTCCTACTCCTCCCCGAAGGAAAGAAACATGAAATCCAGTTTCACATTTTCACTTTATCTAATTGTTTTTGGAATTTATTTTTTATGTTTTCTTCTTTAGACTGAAACACATGAATTATTTTTTTAAGCCTTCTAAGCCCTTCAGCTTTTCTGCCTAAAAGAGTTGCCAGACCTACATCTGAAAGTGCTTTCTTCCTCCAAGGTGATGATTATAAAAGAAGCCCTCAGATGACTTGCTCCCTTGTGGCACACAATTGGAGACTTGCAACTGTGTCTCATTAAAAAACAAAACACTGCTGGCCTCAAAACACACCTGCCACCTCTGACAGCATCCACTTCGCTTCGCCTTATAACTGCTGCCTTTTTCAAAATGAGAGTGTTTGGAATGATTTCCTGGCAGTATCCATAGTGGTTGCTGGGCCTTCTAAAGAATGCTTTGATGCCTTTTTGTGTATCCGTCTTTCAATCCTTTCTTGAGAATGGGAGCCTTAGTGCAAAGAAGAGACATGCTCAAAAAAAAAAAAAAAGTTGGACAAATGAAGGGCCTATTTTCTCATCATTGGTGCTATTTTTCTAAAAGAAAATTATAGCAGAGGTTAGAAGTCTAATAAAAATGCATTAACATCTTAGTTTCTCTTCTTTGTGGTAGACTAAATAGAGCATCATTATTTCATATTTGAAGAAACTGAGATTGAGTGTTCACTGGCTTGGCAGATTGACAGCGCAGTTTGGAACATGTCCCAGTTCTTCTGGATGACACTTATCAAAACTCTTAAAGGACTTTAATGCCACACCCTTATTAATTTTTTTTTTACTGTGAAATCTCATTAATAAATTCTTTATCAATATATAACTTACAATTATTAATCATGTGGGTCATTCAGAATTTAAAAGGGAGATAACTTGGGCATTGAAATAATTTTAAATGATTTGTAATATAGGTCTGAAACATTTAAATAGCTTAATATTAGCCATCAGCTATATTTTAGTATATATTCCCTACTGTAAATCTATCTTCAACAATATTACTCTTCATGTTTTAAAATGTCTTATAATTTGTACTTTCCAAAATTGCCTGTACTTCTTCCCCTAATCTAGCCCTTTTACTCCCAAAATAAAGTGGCTTTGTTTCTAATTAAAAGGAAAAAATGCAGTATTTTTAAAGTTAGTGTCTAACTTTACAGTATCTAACTACACTTTCAGTGTTATAAAAGTTTTTCATTTTTAACCTTTTTCCTCTTTTCTCCAAACGCAAGAGAGATTGTAATTTTATTAGCCAGTGTCCACTCTATTAAATATATTGACTTTATTTATGTAGAAATACCTAGCCAGAAGGAATTGAAGATACAGTGGGTGAGATGTGGGTTTGGTTCCTGTTCAGTGTGAATAGGTACCGTCTCTCGGCCTCAGTTTCATCTTGATCTTGTGAGGCTGATGAAAACACAGGAAAATTACCTCACACTGTGGCACTTAATTGCCACTAGGCAAATGTTAGACTTAACCTGAATCCCTGTGCTCCTCACCAAAAATATATTAGCCAGATGATTGAAGAATGTGAAGCTCTTTATAAACTGGATAAATACCATACAAATGTTGTTTGTATTGTTGGCTATTATTGTCTTGGATTCTCTAAAACTGAAGGCTTGACCTAGCCATGGGCATTAACTTAATGTGTAGACCCTGTGCCAATGTGGAAGACAACTGTCTACAGTGTAATTAGGGTCATGTTAAAGTTCTCTTATCCAGCAAGTTATTTTTTTATTACTCTATTGAGTATTTATTGAGCTGTCACTGTTTATGAGGTGTTATCTTCACTGGATGGCACTCAGAAGTTTTTGTGATGATGGAAATTTTCTGTGTCTGTGCTGTTCAGTATGGTTCCCTCTAGCCCTTAGTAGCTATTGAACACTTGAAATGTACTTAATGCAAATGAGGAACTGACTTTTAAATTTTATTTAATTTTAATTGCTTTATACATAATGGCCACATATGCCCAGTGACTACTGTATTACACAGTACAGGTCTAAGTGGACACCTAAGACCTCCCTCCATGAACAGTAAGTTAACGCTGCAGAGCTAACCCTGATAGCCTTTCATGGTAAAGGATGGATTAGCAGGATGGTGAACAAGTGCTATGGGAGTCTAAGGGAAGGAAAGAGGAGGCTGGGTATTTCTGGATTGGGGCTCTTAGTGGAGATGGGTTTTTAAACTGAACAGTAAAGTCTCGGTAGGATTTACAGTCTCAGAAGGAGCCAGAGACCTCCATAGGGAGCAGTGAATTGACCTAGATTAAAGAAAATGGGATTGAGAAGGTACAATAGGGCCACGTTATGGAAGTCCTTGACTCTTTAGCTTTATTTCTTTCATTCTATTTATACATTCAGCAAAAGAGCACCTCTGTTTGACAGGCTTGATGCCAGCCTTTGGGTATACAGGGCTAGGAGCGAGCTGAGTGTACTTTGGTGAACAAACCAAACATGGTCCCTATCCTAATGGAACTTTAAATAAATCAGCACCCAGATTATGAAAAGAGCCAGAAAATGTAAGAAGGGTACTTTAAACGAGTAATAACAGGGAGGCCTAATTTAGATTAGAAGGTCAAGAGAGTTCTTTTTGAGGAAATAGCATTTAAATTGACACACAAGGGATAAAGAAGAGTTGACTCAGAGAAATATGCTTCCTAGGCAGTGAGTAGGCCCCATTGAAAGTTTTTAACTAAGGACATAATAATGAAGGCAGTTTTAGATTGTCTGCAAGTTGAACTAAAAAATCGGAAACCATAGAGTCTATTGAGCTTTTTGTACTTGATTTTGATTTTTTTAAACAATAGTATAATACAGTTGTAAAAGTTTTGTTTTAGAGTTTGACAGTCCTAGATTTGATTCTTGGCTTGTCATTTACTATCTGGCTATACTTAGACAAGACTTTTTCTTCATCTATAAAATGGGATTAAAATTTCTACTTTGAAAGATTGTTGTGCAGAATAAATGAAATAATATATGTGAAACCTAACACAGAGCATGGCATATAATAAACAGTGAACAGTAATGATTTGTGTGACTTTTTTCTAAATAAGGTCAGTAATGCAATTTTAGTGATACACAAAGTTGGTAGTCCTTAGAATTAAGGAGAAAGCCTATGAGGTCTCTGAAATATCTTAATCACCAGTAAAATTTCAATTACCAATATGCAAGGGTCAGTTCATTTAGATATTTTACTAATTTTCCTTTTTGGTCATTCTGGAAAGAGTTCCACTTGAGGGGGTGGGGGGAGTAAAAACCAAATAACTCTTATTAGATTTAAAAGATGTTTAGCATTTCCTGAATCTTTGGGCTGTTTTCTGTTTGGCTGCCATACATTACAGGGTTCAGTTATTATTTGGGGACCGTCTGTCCCTCCCGGAAGAGAATCTAGTTAATACTACTTTTGTGAGTAATAAGTGGATCTTTCCTAGTTGTTGATGTTTCTGAAAACTACAGACAGGAGAATCTGTCTAAATGTGAGGAACAATGTCAATATCAGTATTATATGAACCTTGAACTTCATTGGGAAGCCAGTGGATCCCCATTGTGAAGTGAGGCACTCAAAGAGGCATATCATGCTATGTATGATCTTAAGTATTATACATATATTGGTTCATTACATGTTACTATGCCTTTGGAGTGTCCTGTGAATGTAACCTAAAAAGCAAGCATGATTAGAACTTGATGTCTGTCCCAAACCTTCATGTGTTTAAAAATCCTATGACCTTCTTAGTAGTACAAGTATTTACTTGAGTACCTTCTTAAATACTAGGAATATAAATTGCCAGAAACCTAACAGTGTAAAAGAATGAAATTTAGTGGTGGTCAAAGAGGTCAGAAATTCCTCTTGTAAAACTTAGGTCATTAAATACGAAATGTCCGATTTCAAATTAAAAGGGTAGTTCATTATATCTCAAACAAGAAGCAGTACAGTTAATCAAAGTATGTACCTAAACTGTTGACACGGTTTTGCCATCTTAACTTGTTTATGCCAGTTTGTTTACGCCAGCAGTGAAGAAGCCTGGAAAGTAAGTGGCCATGAAATCACGAGAAGCGTTTTCCACAGCTTGTTGAGAATTGAATATTTTTCCATGCAAGAAGTGGTCCGAAGCCTGGAAGAAGTGGTAGTTGGTGCAAGGTCTGGTGAATCCGGTGGATGACAGAGAGTTTCTAAGTCCAACTTCTGTAGTTTGAGCAGTGTTGTTTGTGCGACATGGTTGAGTGTTGCCTTGCAAGAGGATTGGCCTGTCCCTATTGACCAATCTCGGCTGCTTAATCACAAGCATCCTCATCATTTTGTCCAGTTGGTTGCAGTAGATATCCGCTGTAATCATTTGACCAGATTTCATGAAACTGTAGCGGGTAATACCAGCGCTGGACCGCCAAATAGACATCATTAGCTTTTTTTAATGAATATTCGGTTCTTAACTGTTTTTTGGCACTTCATCTTTAGCCAGCCATTGTGCTGAACGCTTGTGATTGTCATATTGAATCCATTTTTCATCACATGTAACAATATGGTGTAGAAATGGTTCGCCTTGATGTCACAACAGGAAAGAAAGGCAAGCTTTAAGACGATTTCTCTTCTGATGTTCATTTAATTCATATGGTACCCATCTATCCATCTTCTTTACCTTGCTGATTTCTTCATCATTCAAGATTGTCAGAATAGTAATGTCAAACTTTGCTAATTCACACATGGGTTGAGATAGATTCACTTTAACTACAGTTTTTAGTTCATCATTATCCACCTTGGTCTCAGGTCCCCCATGTGGCTCATTTTCAACATCAAAATCACCAGAACAGAACTTCTAAAACCAATATACTGTGCATTCATTAGCCATACCCTTCCAAAACACTGGATATTTCAAGCTGTCTGCACTGCACTGGTTCCACAATAGAACTCATACTTGAAAATAACAGGAATGTTTTACTTATCCATGGTTTCACAAAAATTGCTCTAAAAAAATGTGAAAGATAATCACAAACCAAAACGTGCATTTGAAAGACTGAGGATGTACCTCCACAAGGTAAAACAAGAAGTGTCAAAGTGAAATGTCAGAGATATCAGCTGTCAAACTTAGTACTTAAGGAAATTGAACATTTCCTACTTAATAACCTAATATTTAGTAAGGAAGTAACTGGAAATCGATTTGATATTTATAGCATTAATACATTCATTGCAAACATTAAAAATAAAAAAATTAATTGTGGGGAAATGTTTAATGTGAATTGCTAAATTTTTTAAAAAAAAATTATAGAAGACTATGTCCAAAATGATCCCACTTTTGTAAAATACTTAGAAAAATAGGATGTGCACCCAAACATTAATAGTGTAGAAGGGTGATAAATGGCTTAGGTTTTTTTCCCTGAGTCTTCCAGCTTTTTTTGAGTATGAAATTAGAATTTAAATTGTCAAAAATCTAGAAGGAATTGATCTAATTCCTGTTTTGCTCTTCACTTCAATGTCAAGGGGTTTGGGCTAAGTATGAGGAGGCCCAGATTCTTAACTTAGCTGCTAGCGTTAGTAATGTGACCTTCGGTAATCCCCTTAAACCTCATTGGACCTCAGTTTCCTCATCTGATAAAATGAGAGACTGGAAGAATGAGGTCCCTTCCAATTTTAAAATGATTCTGGAATCCTATTCTAAATTGTCTGAAAAAAAGTGGACTATGACCTAAGGGACTAGGCACAGAAGTCTGAAGTCAAACGCACTGTTTTGTGGAAGCTTACTGACCTACCTATCTTTATAAGGTATGTGTTATATTTTTTACGAAGCAGCAAAACTCTATATCTTAGGGTCACATAACTTGACAAAGGCTTAATATTCTTTGCTTCTGCTTCCTGTTATCTATTAACCAAGGAATTTTACTGGCCGATCTCAGGCTCTTAAATGAACTGATAATGATATACTTCATCTTTGCCTAGCACTTTTGAATTTACCACATTCTTCACATTGCATTATTTGGTTTCATAACAGGCAGGGGAGGTATTATTATTCCTGTTTTTCAGATGGGGATACTGATTGCAAGTGACTTGCCAACTTCACGTTGACTGTCAGTGGTAGAACGGAGATTACTGGAGAACTCTGGACTTCATGTCGAGTGCTTTTGTCTCTACATCTTAATACCTTTATTTTCCTATGTTTTCCCATGCCCCCCCCCCCCATAGTGCTTTGTATTCTTTGTTATGTCTGTTTCCAGTCTCCTTACATGAACATAGCTGCCAGGTTTCATAGTCATAAAATTTGAAAGTTGTGTAAGATCTCGCTCTTTTCCCTTACTGGAGATACAATGCAATTCCAAGATTTTACAAATGAGGAAACCGAGGTCTATAGAGGCCAAAATGACATGAGATATTTATATTTACATACACACACACACACACCCACAAATATATCTATACATCTCCACATCCATCCAAGACTTGGACCCATGCTGTTTTCAGTATATTGCATTAAAAGAAAATCAGAGGTAATATTGTTTTGGAGGATTAAGAAGTAATGACCTTTGAAAACTGTTTGAATATTATCACCGAAGTGCAAGGATAATCAGCCTTTCAGTAAGCAGTTATTGAGCACCTGCTATATCCATGGCATTCTTGTTTTTTAAGAGCATTTCTTGAAAGAATAGTAGCCAACCAAAGCAATGTGTTTTTTAATTGTGCAGATGGCTCTTTCTTGTAATTTAGGTACCAAATTATTAGTTGGGCATTTTAATTCTGGTTTAACTAGTGAGCAGGACAGGTTTTTACATTGTGAATTTAAGTTAAAAAAAAACCCTGCAAAAAACAGACTATATCCAGAAGCTAGGATTCTTTTATTCTTGTTACTATAATGTTTATATTGTTGACTCTTGCAGTTCTTTGAAGTGTTGTAAATTGTTAGTAGATCTCAGAGAAGAGAATTTCCTGAAATAATTACATTGAATGGTTTTTTTAAAAAACTAATTTTAGTTTATTTTGTAAATGTTCTTTGGATAGTAAAATAAGAACTCCAGAAAATAAATGTTCTTTAGATAGTAAAATAAGAACCCCAGAGATTCGGTCATGTATTAGTCAAGTAGAGTTAGATGTGGCTAGTTGTTCTAATAAATTAGATAGAACAATTAGTTGTTCTAAATTAGATAGATTTCAGGTTAATGTCACCAACTATAAATGCAAAAAACATATTTTGAAATACTAGGCATTGACCTTGGGTGCTCTCTCAGCATTGTCCTGATTTTTCCTACAGAACTTTATTACTGGAATGGTAAAATAATAACGTTTTATTATAGATATTGACACAACTCCCCAGTAAATCTGTTTAGCTCTTTGAAGTCTGAGACTCTGAGACCACTTCGTTTTGTTCATTTTTGTGTCAGAACCTAACAAAGTACCCAGTGCATCGTACTAACAGGTACTCAGAAAATGTATGATAGTATTGACATGGTATATTGAAACACCTTGGAGTCAGCTGAACCAGTTGTCAGGACAAAAAGCCATAGGTCCCAAAATATACTTGAGAGTTAAATTAGCTTGAAAGAATTGTTAGTAACTTGCAATCCCTGGGGTACCCTTGTTTATTGATATATCCCTATGTCACTAAAGAAGTGATCAGTAGAAAGTAGGTTACCTCTGAGCTATCCAGTTTAGAGTTTTCAGGAGGGAATTTATTTTAGATCCACAGGTGCTACCAATTTGTGATAGTGGCCTAACAAAAAAAAGAGTATTTCTTATAACCTGTAATTGAACAAGTTTCTCCCTTTTTTCCATCTGTCAAACTACTATCTTCTTGGCAAGGGAGTCCCAGGTACATAACAGATAAAGTCATACACAAACTCTGAAAAATGGTTCCTTATTCTGTTTTCTAAAGACATGTTTAAAAAAATCTATATTGACACTCTAAAAATATTATTTCACCTACTCTTGTTAAAAGATTTCTTGTTACTCATTAAAACAGAGGACATTCTGTTTGGGAAAGGATGCTTCTTGTATACAAGAATTATAACTTCCTTTATAGTTGAAAGGTGTGTGTAGCTTTTGCAAAAATATTTTTATGTTTACTGGTTCATTTACTATGTAAGTCAAATGCCCTATATATTGTTTATTAAATCTCTGCCTGTAATGTAAATTGGCTTAAATTGATGTGGATTGAGGGATATAGATGCTACCGCAGATGAAAATGATCAAAATCTGAAATGTAATTTGTGTTTTTTAACATTGATTAGAGTAGCTTTTTTAATTTAGTAAAGTATTAAGAAGAAAAAAAATGGCCCAAGATCTCACTAATTTTTATTGTTAATTTATTTCTGCTCCACATAGATTTACTAGCAAGTAAGCATAAACACATTTGTTGACATTTTTTAAAAATAGAAATAATACGTACATGTGATTAGACACTTTAAACTGTATGAAATAAAATCCTTCCTCTGTACCTTTCTCTCTCCAGAAGTTTGTTATGCCTCTAAAATTTCTGAATGCATCTATGCATCTTACAAAGAAATTATATAGAAGGCTTTGTGCTATATACTGTGTTCAGCATTTTGCTTTTTTTTTTTCATTTAATATAAATTAGTGAGCTTTCTATATCCGCATATGCAGATCTACCTTGTATTTTTTAACAGCTCAATCACATGGATGGGCCATGTTTATTTACCAGATTATTTCCAGTTTTGTTGCACCATGACAGTGAACATCTTTTTCATATATTTTGGCATGGGATCATTTCTAAGCACTTGAATTGCTGGTTCAAAGGGTATGTGCATTTAAATTTTTGAAAGACATTTTTAAATTGCTGTCCAAAGACAAGACGAGTTTTCACTCCCATCAACGGAGAGTACAGCATACTACTGGTTTTCCCATGCTCTTGCCAGCGTTCACAGACTAGTTTTTTGTATTTTTAATTTCTACCAATCCAGTAAGTAAGCTAAATATTTTTAAGGAAGGGAAATATATAGGTTTTTAAAAAATATTCTGTGGGATTAGAAAATTTTTGAAAAAGCTAGTATTCTTATCTTTAATTCTTTTTTTCATTGTTTGTTTTACATTTTAAGAGATGAAATTGGCCTGATCCCATGTCCTGAAGCTAGGTATAACCGGAGTCCCATAGTCCTGGTTGAAAACAAACTTGGTGTGGAGAGCTGGTGTGTGAAGTTCCTTTTACCATATGTCCACAACAAGCTCCTTTTGTACAGAACGAGAAAACAATGGCTGAACAGAGATGGTAAGTGTAAACAGTCTCTTCTTCCTTTGGTTTTTAGAAGCAACATGGGATACAGTAGGAAGAGCCCTTGTCTGGGTGTTGGCATTCCTGGATTTTAGTTCTGGTTCTTCCATTCATTCTCTGGGTAGGTGCTTAACCTCTCTGTCAAGTGAGGCATTTGGACTAGACCTGTAGTTTTCAAATTTTGCATCCATAATGATTATATGGAAATGCCTCAAGCAGGATTCCAGGCCACCTCCTATAACCAGAACAATTCTGATTATATCTGTTTATGTGTTGGGGTCATTGTAAGATTTTATTTGAAGAAAACATCCTATGGCTAAAAAAAAAGCTTAAATGTCACTGAAGAGTACTCTGTTCCCTCTGGGCTCAGTCTCTGATTTCTAGTCCTTTAGTATTGTATGAGCAATAAAACTCATTTTTGCAGCAGTCCAAATGAGATAACAGGCATGATGGTGGGAGCTATACTGTGAACCCCATGATTTATGAGTGTGCCATTGCACTGTGAATCCCAGTTGAGCTCTGGCTCTCTGTGTCCTGTTCCTGTGCTGAATGAGCAAAAGAACTCCACCCCAGCAGTCATTTCTTCATTCCTCTGAGACAGTTCTTTACTGCATCAGACAATCCCTAATCATTCTACCTCATTTCTTTTCTTAGTGTTCTGCCTCTGTGTGCACAAATTCTGCTTATCATTTTAGGCTAACCTCAGGTCTCACTTTTTGGGAATGTACTCATCTAAGACTATGTCCTCTACTGTTTTTGTAGAGCCTCTTCCCCTTCCCACATACAGCAGTACCTTCAAAAGTGCTCAGTATGCCCAGAAGCTGATTTTGAATAAGAACTTGCTTCCTAGAGAATTTTAATTGACAGTTTGGTAGCCATTACCAAGGGCCTACTCATACCAGAGGCTGTTCTGAGTACTGTGGGGGATAAAAAGATGAATAATACATGGTCCCTTTATTCAAGTATCTTACAGTTGAATGACAAACAATCTCTTTGGGGATGGGAGCTATGGAGAAGAGTGTTGCCAAAGGTATGACATACTGATTTCCTTGAATTTCTCTCAGCACGATCCTTAACATACTGTAATAATAGCACTTTTCCCTGTTTAGACCATAGAAAACGAGTCTGATTTGCAAATTTTAATGAACAATAGTTTCTGTTTTCTACATGTGGTTGTTACACTCAGTCCTCTGATATATATTTCTTAATTACTAATAGAAGGCTATGCCTAAGTTTATGGCATAAACTTTAAGACATAAGTTTAGGCATAAACATAAAGGTAAGTGTGTTTATCTGTTGTTAGACCCTCTTTAATTCTCTGTTCTACCACCATGCCATAGGTTTCAGTAACACTGAGTTAAAAAGTAACATACTAATCCATCAAGTTATTTTTTGCCAAATCTGTATTGTTCATGTTCTGGTGCCCAGAAATGTATAATTGAGCCAATGCATAACTAACTTTAGCAGGGAGTTACAATGGTTATCTTGTAGAGAAGAAACAAGAATTTTAAAATGTTAAAGGGTATAGTTGCCCATTCATGTATGCTAGCTCTCAGCCTACCTTCCTGTGGCCTTCCAAGTTCTTTTCTCCATTTCCCTGTTTCTTGTCCTCCTGGTCACTGTACTACAGGCTTTGCTGTGTCTCCTCACCATGTACTTTTAGTCTTAATAGGCCCAGGAAGACCCAGGCAGAAGATGAAATTAGTAAAGCTCACTGGCGAATAGCTGGCATCTAAACTTTGAATTCTGATGCAACTGTGCCTGTGTACAGAAGCAGCTTTTGATTTTATCCTAACCTATATCCTCATGGAAGCAGTTTTCAATTTCACTTTTTGGAAAGGAGGTAGGGAGAGCATAGTTTAGTGTGGTGTCACATACTACTTCGGTTGCATATCGTATTATCAGTGAAAATAAGGTAGTGAATTTCTGGTTTGACAGAAAAAGATATCTGAAAATGCTGACTAATATAATTCTGGCAAACTTATGAACTGAAGCAATTAGAGCACAAAGGTGAATCTTGCTAAGAGAAACATTTCAAAAATATTAGGAAAGAGCAGTTATTTCATGAAAATACTACACCTTTGAAACCGTTTTTGTAGAAAATATTATACATATAAGAAGAGCCAAATGCAGAAAGCTGACAATTCATAGAACAGTTTCAGAATGTCAGTGTCTGTATGATTGATCATGCCAGAATCCCAGTAATCTACCTAAGATTCTGTAACTGAATTCTGTGACCTCTACTCCTGGGATAGATTTTTTTTTTCTCCCATAATGAAACTGAATTCAAGTTCTCATTAATCTGCTGAATTCCTTAGATAATTGGAAAGCATCCCTGTTTACACTTGGTCTTAGCCAAAAGGCCAAGAAGCGATAGCATCCCTGTTTGGTTAGAGAATACATATTTTTTAAAAGTTTATTACAGTAATAGCCATATTTGGTTTAGGAAAGGAATGATACTATAATTCTGATTTTTGAGAAATCCATAACAGGTACAGAAAGCAAGAGGGAAGACCACGGCATTGGAGTACTGACTGGGCAGAGCTCTCTCCCGCACTCTCTCTCTTCAAGTGTGCTCTCCTCCCGTCCTTTTTTGCTCTTCTCTCTTTCCCTCTGCATCCACTCAGCACATAACTGAGCTCTCTCTTTAAAAGCCATCTTCTGCTCTCCATTTCTTTGTCCGGCCAGGCCTTCATTATTTCTCATATGGACAAATGTTATTACCTCAAACTCGTCCCTCCCATTTCCAGGTTCTTTTGTGATCCGTGTCCATCATGTCACTAGCCAATCATTTCAGACACTTCCCAACATTATTTTTTTTATTTTTTTTTTCTGAGACAGAGTCTCACTGTGTTGCCCGGGCTAGAGTGCCTGGCGTCATCCTAGCTCACAGCAACCTCAAACTCCTGGGCTCAAGCGATCCTCCTGCCTCAGCCTCCCGAGTAGCTGGGACTACAGGCATGCGCCACCATGCCCGGCTAATTTTTTCTGTATATTTTTAGTTGTCCAATTAATTTCTTTCTAATTTTAGTAGAGACGGGGTCTCGCTCTTGCTCGGGCTGGTTTTGAACTCCTGAGTTCAAACAGTCCGCCTGCCTCGGCCTCCCAGAGTGCTAGGATTACAGGCGTGAGCCACCGCGCCCGGCACCAACAACATTTTTTAAAAACAGTTTGAGAGATGCTTTTCTGAAGTATGTGTCTGGTCATCCTATTTTATGATGTCTGTGGGTCAGTGTAGAGTTCAAATTCCTTAGCATGGTATTCAGGGCCCTTGACAATCTGTCCCCAGCCTCCATCACCAGCCTTTCCTCCATTTTATATTCAGCATGAGAGGTTGCAGATTGTCAGCCGCCACGCTGAAGCTTGTCTACAGATACATTTTGCTGTGGCTTGTATAATGTTTTAAAAAACGTTTTTAATTAGTTGGATGAATGTTTAAAATAAGGATGAAAATCTGGAAGTCTATCTTCACTGGAAAAATTAGGCAGCTTAGGTGTACAGCTTTCTGCATGGTAACAGTTGGCCAGGGCTTGTAGCCTCTACTTTTCTTAACTGGGCAGGTCTGTTCCCGTTGATCACAACCTCTTCCCACCCTTCAGACACTGAGGCAGAGTGTCAGTTGCAGCTTATCATTAGGTTTGCTTTGCTGCTTTTTTGATGTTTTCTTGAACCCTAGAAGTATTTGTGTTTACAGCCATTCGATATGTGTTCATTCCAGCCATAACCTGTATTGTTTCATTATTTGACTTTGCTGTGTACTACTACCTTACTTCCATGCCCTTGCAGAGGCCAGGCACATGTCTTACATTGTCATCATTGGGGTGGTTTCCTGCGCACGTGGGCACACACACACTCACACACACACTCAACACTATGAAGCCTTTCTGACTGCTTCAGGAAGCAATAATTACTCTCTGCTCTCTTATGGGGGTCCTTTATTCAGACTGCCTAATAATAACACATCACACTGTATCATAGTTGATTATTTAAAAACTTTTTCCTGGCTGGATTGTGAGTTTATTAGGAACAGGGATTATGGCTCATCTTTCTTTGTTTATTCAGCATCTTTACATGTTCAACAGACATTTGTCAGGTAAGTAACAAGAGTTAAGCAAGAGTTTTTAGCTTGGTCTAGCTATTGATTCAGTGACTGTAATAAACAAGGCCTCTGGTGTATACCATGTAGCTTTCCCTCAAGCCTCTCTCTTGTGGTATCCTGAATGTATTTTGGAGAAAGATTAATTGGTCCAAGCTGACCTTGGATTTATTTCTATTTTCATGAAAACCTTTCTCTGTCAGAGACCGTTGTCAAACTCAGTGACCATTACCAGGGTGCCTCCTGGCCTTGGGCTATTTCTAGAATGCAGTGTAGCAACGAATGCATATTGATTTTTTCTGGCTTATGTAGCATCCTTTTATCCTCTCCTTGTTATAGTTGGTATTTAGCTAATTTCCTACATATAATGTGCCCTGATTCATTTTCTCCTTGTGATGTGATGATGGGTTAGTCATACATTAGAGTGTATGTAACAAAGGAAAATTTATTTGCTGGTATATGCTCTATTGTTTGGAGAGAAACTTGTTTAATTTCAAGAGACTGTAGGGATTGTGCATATATTTTGAGTGAAACTGCAGGGGAAGTGGTATATAGTTGATGAAATTTAGAGTGAGATAGTTACAATCAACTATTGATTGTACATGTTTATCTTTAGGTCTTTAGTTTGGTCCTGAGCTGTAGAGGGCAAAGTATTTGCCTACAGTGTGCTAAAATAGAAAGAGCATCCGCTTTGCAGGAAAACAGACCTGGATTCAAATTCAGCTCATCAGCACACTGAAGTCACTTAACAGTGACTTTTGGCAAATTACTTAACCTCTTTGTTCCTATTTCCACACCAAAATAAGGGAATACTAATCAGTACTTCAGGGGATTGTTGTGAGGACCTGGTTCTTTAATTATGTCCAGTTATTTCTAACCTAGTTCCTTCTAGTCCTTTCCTTTTTCTGACATTGCACTGCATATGCAGCTCTTTTATCTGACTGGAGTGCTTTCTGAAGGAGATCCTGTCTGGGCTTGAGTCCTGAATCAGGAAGATTTAGCAGTTTGTCAAAGGGGAGTGAGGGCCCATGGTTGTATGTGATACTAGGCACCACTGATGGTTAGGAGGCATCCAGTCCCAGTATCATGTGTGGAACTGGGCTAGGAGATACAGGCTTTGTAACAGGAATTACATTCAGTGCTTACTGTATGTCAGATGCTGTCCTAACACTCCAGGTGTTTTAATCATCTAATACCCCTATGATAGCTCCATTTTACAGATGAGAAGGACACTAGGCACAGAGAGATTAAGTGAGTTTCCCAAGAACTCCCATAAACAGTGGAGCTGGCCTCTAAACCCCACAATTACTATTGCCCTTCTGGGGGAGACCCGCCAGTAAAGGAAGCATTGCTTTGATCAGCCTTCCTCGCTCTTCACACAGCCACAAAATGAAAAGCGAGGCTTAAGTATTTGCAGTGTTTGTTAGTTTTTGCCTTGTGCTGCTGTACAGAAGTCTTCTCATGGAGGATAAACTTGTCTTCACTTACGGCGGCAGGGAGGAGAGTTGTGTTAGAGGTACGAATGAATAGCACCTGTCATTGATCACACACATTTTGTTTAATGTGGAAAGGGAGAGTCCAAGGGACTAAGTACCAGTTTACCTAGGTAGTATAATGGCATTTTGAAAAATTGTAGATGTCAGAAGAAATTCCAGAGGCTTTCCCATCATACATAAACTTTTGCATATAACTACTTGACTACTAAGTGGCTTTTTTTGTTATTGCCGTTTATTTTACAAGTTTAGAAATTTAGACGGTTTTACTGTAGGAACAACTACCTCATTATTTCAACTTCCTTGATTAATTGATGTTAAAAATATTCATCTCTCAGTTGGTAAGTCGCAGTGGCTCACAACACTGTGAGGTTGATGTTACCATCCTCATTTTACAGGTAAAGAGACTGAGGTCCCAAGAGGTTATGTTCTGTGGATAGTAGGTGGAGAAGCTGGAATTCAAACCCACGTGGTGTGGTTTTAAGGAAGGCATATGCTCTTAAGACTCCTTGGAGCTGCTTTTGGGAAGGGACCAAATCTTACTCATCTTCACCCAGCTCAGTACCTGGCTTGTTGAAGATGCTCACAAAACTTCTTAAGCGGGTAAATAATTTGAAGATATATTAGGGAGGACCTGCTTCCAAAGAATTTATGATCTGAATAAGAGGATAATATTTATATAAGTAACCAAGTAAGATACACATAAAGATTGTGTAAAGTAAGATGAAAGATTTTTTCCAGCTTGGTAGGTCAGAATAGCCTTTATGGAGAAAGATATTTAAGAGCTCTTGAGAAATAAAAAAAATTATATATATTTTTTAATATTCAGAGATGGGAAGACATTTCTGGCAGAAAGAATAGCAAGTAGGTAAGTCCTGAGTTATGTTCAGAGAAGAGAAGGTAGGCAGGTAGAAAGTGTGTTCAGAAGATGGTGGGGTTTGGTTGGGGTGGAATGCAGCATGTGAAGGAAAGTAATGGATGGCTCAGCTGATAAGGAGATTGGGACCAAGTTCTAGAGGGCCTCATTTCCTGGCACGTGTTCCCAGCACCCTGTGCTGTAGTGACACTCTGGTACCCATAATCTCTTGGAGAGCAGACTGGGTGTGAAGTGCCATGCCTCTTAATCTTTGCTTAGACTTTTTCCTTTACCGCTTTATTCACTTGCAGTCTTCCAGGGGTACTCCAGCAACAATTGCAGCTGTAATGGTGGGTCCCAAAATGTAGTATATGCTTCTACATCATAATTATGTCATTTTGCCTTCTACAATTACTTGTTTGTATGTTCTCTCCAACTTAGAGGGCAAAATTAGGTCCTATTTGTCATTATATCCATTCTCTCAGTCCTAAGGGCCCAGTTTGATCCTTGCCCATAGTCAATTCTTGGAATATTTGTGGAGTTAAATGAATACTGACATAGAATATTATATTTATTTTTCTTGGTAAGTATTAAATTAGTGCCAAAAACTACTAAAAGCAAAAGAATGAAGAGGTTGATTAGATTATTCTTTATAGGCAGATTGTGTTTCTACATATAATGGCTTGTAATGAGTAGGATGGAGGTCAAAAATAAATGTGTGTTGATCGAACTGTTTGTTGCTCATTTATTGACTGTTATACTCATGAGCTCAGAATTAATGTTTATCTCTTATTAAGATGGTGAGAATAGAATAATTTATTTTGTTGTGAACTAGAATATTTAAAAATGACTATAGGATGTATTTTCATGTGTTCTTAGATTTTGAAAGTTTGTCTTTTACTTAAACACTGAAAATGTCCCAGTTATTTATTGTAGACAGATATTTCAACTGCAGTATAATTGACTTGTTAAAAGCAGTCAGATGTTGACCATGCCTCATGCTAATTGGGTGACTATGGGCAAATCGCTTAAACTTTGTAAATCTTAGTTTCCCTATCTGTAAAGTCAAATAAGAAAATTTTGGACTGTGATGATGAGAATTCAATGAAATAATGTAAATGAAGTACTTAATACCCTGGCCACTACACAGTAGTAATGATTGTCTTCATTCTTTTATTTACTTGGCATTTAATATGAGCTTCGTAATGTGGCCTTAATTTAGTATTATGCCTCTAGATTGATAATCTTCAAATTCTCTTTTTAATTTTAGTGAAACAAAATATGTGTAAATTTTACTGATTGTGTTCTTTTAAATACAGACTTATGCCGTTTATTTAAATATATAAGAATTCTGTCAAGACCATGATAGATAAATAGGTAATGAATATGAATAGCATGTTTATAAGATGAACTGTAAGTAGTATACAAAAATGAAAAAACGTTCATATTAATAAATGTAAATTAAGATGTAAATTAAAATAGAAACAAAGTATAATTTTTTATCTGCCACACTGATTTTTTAAGTGTAATTATATAGGACAGTTATAGGTACATAAGTACACTCATGTTATTCTTGGTAGTAGTATAAATAGATACAGTCCCTTTGGAGGACAATTTGGAATTGCTTAGTAGGAGCCATACTAATTTTTATATTGTTTTTGACATAGTATTTCTACTTTAGGAAATATATCTTAAGAAAATAATGTATAAGACAAAAAGTCTGTTTAAAAATGTTTATAGCAATATTATCTTAACAGTAAAAAAAAAAAAAACAAAAACAGGAAATAGCCTAAAGAATAAGATAAATAATAGTATATAAAAGTAAGGGATTGTTATGCAACTGTTAAAAATACATACTGTAGCAATATAAGAGAATGCATATAAAATAATAGTGAAAAATAGAACAAAATTGTATATTTATCATTGCTATAGCTACATGTAAAATGGGTGCAAGAAAAGGTAATTTTTGTAGGAGAATGTACATGAATTATGTTGAGTGGGTTGGATTATGAGTGGTTATTTTTCTTTTGAAAATTTGCACACATAGTAAATACTTAAGATATTTGTGGAATGAAATGAATAGTGGCATAGCAATTGTGTTTCTTTTCCTTGGTAAATATTAAAGTGTGCCAAAAACTGCTAAAAGAATGAAGAGATTAATTAGATTATATTTAATAGGTATATTGTAAAATTGATTCACTGTCGACTTCCAAAAGAGTTATGCTTATCATAAGTAGGAGAAAGTCTTGAGGATAATTTTCACTTCCCTGACAGTTTAGAACAGGGTATTTATTATTGCAATTAATATGATGCGACATATGTTAGTATAACGTGCTAGAGAAAGAACCTTAAAAGAAGGAGAAGCTGGGCTTTAAAGGGTAGGACTGCTTGTTTTTAATATGGCTTCTCTTTATTTTAGAATTGATAGATGTCACATGCACCCTGCTGCTTCTAAACCCAGACTTTACCACTGCATGGAACGTGAGGTAGGTATGTCATTTTCCTGAGTGATAAGGTGAAGTTTGTTCAATTTCTGAAGACATATAAGCCCCATGAGCTGTTAGCTTTTTGAAAACGAAATATAAACCATATGTTCATGGCATCTTACATTTATATCTTCTACTTATTCTTTATAATATCTCCATGAAGATTCTAACACATACACTTTGCCCCTTTTTGCACATCTGTGTCTGTTCTCTGTAAACTTTCTTGCCTGAAACATAAATTCTCATGTTGAATTATAGTACACTGTTTGATCCATGTTTTGTTAATTTTTCTTTTTGGGGGCTGGGGGAATAACAGGCAATTGGCATAATTGGTTGGATCGTAAGGCTTTGGTTGGCATATTTGAGATGCACTACAGTGCAGTGCAAAGTGTGTGAGGTGAAAAAGAAGGTAGTCAGGCTTGACTCTGGTTTTTGCCCTGAGCAACTAAAAGGATGGAGTTACCATTTGCTGCAATGGGGATGTCTGGAAGAGAAGTCAATTTAGGTGGGGGTAAGGGGTGCTGGTTAGAGGTCAAGAATTTGGTTTGGAGCGTGTTAGGTTTATGTACAAGTAGTTGCATATTAATCTGAAGTTCAGGGGAAAGGTCTGGGCTATATAAAAATTTTGGAATCGGCCGGGCGCGGTGGCACACGCCTGTAATCCTAGCTCTCTGAGAGGCCGAGGCGGGTGGATTGTTTGAGCTCAGGAGTTCGAAACCAGCCTGAGCAAGAGCAAGACCCCGTCTCTACTAAAATTAGAAAGAAATTAATTGGACAACTAAAAATGTATACAAAAAATTAGCCGGGCATGGTGGTGCATGCCTGTAGTCCCAGCTACTCGGGAGGCTGAGGCAGAAGGATTGCTTGAGCCCAGGAGTTTGAGGTTGCTGTGAGCTAGGCTGACGCCACGGCACTCACTCTAGCCCGGGCAACACAGTGAGACTCTGTCTCAAAAAAAAAAAAAGAAAAAAATTTTGGAATCACTAGCATGTGGTTTTAAAGCCTTGAAACTGTGTGAGATTCCCCAAAAGAGTGGGTGCAGCTAGAGAAGAGAAGCAGTCCGAAGACTGAGCACTGGGACGCTCCAGTTTTCTAGAGTAACACAGTCCTATACAGTAGCCACTAGCCACACATGGCTGTTGTGCCTTTGAAATGTGACTAGCCTCAGTTGAAATGCGCTGTAAGTGTAAACTACACATCAGATTTTGAAGACTAAGTACCCCAAAAATGAAATATCTCATTATAATTTATATTGATTATCTGTTTAAATTATAGTATTTTGGATGTATTGAAGTAAATAAAATATATTTATACTTGTGTTTAATATAGCTGTTAGAAAATTTAAAATCACATATATGGCTCACATTTGTGACTCACATTATATTTCTATTGGACAGCACTGTTCTAGCATTTGCAAGATGAGGAAGAATCAGCAAAGGAGACTTTTAGGAAGGTACTATGAACTTACAATTGAGAGCTTTCCTAAGGGTAGGGACTGTAGTTTTTTTTCCTTTGTTTCCCTAGTATCAAACTGTAATGCCTGTTGCACAATGGATATGCAGTTTGCAAACTGGGCACTGAAAACAAATCAAATTCAGTGAAAAAGAAATGAGGGTAATAGGAAAGTGGGAGTGCCATTTTTATTCATGTTCTCACATTCCTCATCAATAAAGAGGAATTGGAAATCCTTCAGCAAAAAATTCTTGCTAGCATAATGTATATATGTACATACATATACACATATACTGTAACACGTGTACACACAAGTTATTCATTGTATGTTCAATAGGACAGTTCAGCATAAGAGAAAAAACCTAGTCTTACAATTCATGGAACTTAGTCCTTTTTCATGAGTTAACTAGCATTTAATTGTAGACAAAACCTTTAATTTCTCAAGAGTTAGTTTCTTTTTCTGTGAAATAAAAGATTTGAACTAGGTGAATTTTTCATGATTCTTTTGAAACTCTTTTTTGATTATGTGTGATTTGGTCTTATGAAGGGAAATTGTTCCATTAATCTAACTTCAGTGATGTTTATAACAGTTAATCTCGAAAATTATTGTAGTAAAATGATAGTAAAGTTTTGTGTTAGACAAGTAGAAAGGGAATCTTGATTTTCAAAAAATTTATTGTGAATACGTATTCTAGTAAATTTTGGTTAGTATCAGTAAGATTGATTGACATATGAAGACATAGAATCATGGGTACATTTTGAGCAAAACTTTGGAAGTAAACTGCTCTAACGCTGTAAAGTCGCTCTGCAGATGAAATACTCAGCACTTTATGTTTAATTGTTGGTTATTTTTTCTGCAGTAATCTGGAAGATGTTGAGTGATTCCTACTGTGTTTTTCAAACTGTTAAAATACAGTATAATACACCTCTAGTTCAATTTGTGGGTGTTGTTAGTCTTACGGGAAAAAACAAGGGCTAAGTTTTTGAGCTGATCTCCTGTGACTATAGTGAGTGATGCACATAGTTAAAAATTCCAGCTGGTTATAAAAGAAAAAATGACTGCTACTTTTTGCTTTGAATTTGCTTTGAAAATTGCTTGATGAAAGAGGTTGACTTCATAATAATGTCCTAGTTTTTTCATCAGTCTATCTACTTGGAATAAGCAAAACATCTTTGAACAACTAGACACCAAAAACTCCAGTGTTTCTTTCATGTCTTTACTCGTAGCCTATTGATTTAAGTTGGTAACTTTTATTTTATGCAGTAACTTGGTGACTTTTATTTTGATGTTTCATTCTGACACTTTGAGCTAGGAAACCTTGAGCAAGTTACTGAATTCCTCCAAGACTCAGTTTCCTCATCATAACATTGAGATAATAGTAGGTTGAACCATATGAAATTGTTTTTTCTAACACTCTAATGGTTTTAGAAATGGCTGATTCTTGGACCAGGGCAGGAAGTATACAAGATGAGCCTGGAACATCTTGTAGAGCCAGAAAGTAAGAAAGTGCTTAAAAAACAATCTGTTGGGAATATATCAAAGGGACGCAGGAGCCAACTGAAAGAGCTTCCAGTGGCGAAAGCTGGAATGATTTGAACAACAAAATAAGTAACATAGTATTGGATTATATCCCAGAGTATAAAATGGATATCTATAAGTCCACACTGGAATGAATGGGTGAATGAATACATAAATAAGAGACAGGAGACAAATGATATCCCATTAATTTACCTAGATAACCCGCTCAAGGAGGTAGAGCATAGCTCTGTATTTCTGAAGAGTGGGCTGTGCACTGAATCAGAAAATTATAATGACTTTCTTCCAAAAAGTAGTGAAAAAACCTGACCTCAGCCAGGTAATCTAGATCAACATCACCAGTGATAAGTCATGTTGATACTATGTGCCTCTGGATGCGATGAAAATGACACTTTACCTCTGTGGTCTTTTCCCTCAAACCCATATCCCCAGTCTAATGATAAGAAAAACATTGTACAAAATACCTGACCAGTATTCTCATAACTGTCAAGACCACCAAAAACAAGGTAAATCTGAGGAGCCAAGAGGTGCCTAAGTAGATATAATAACCCAATGTAATGTATCCTGAAGGGAACCCTAGAATAGAAAAAAGACATTTGGTAAAAAGTAAAGAATATGCCTGAAATCTTGGTTATGTGATCACCATAACTTACCCACTTTCCATATATTTAATATCTTTTTTAAGTGATCTTTAAAAAA